GGGAACGCCAAAACGATTGCTTTGGTGTTGGCGAGTGTTTATCTAGTGTGACTCGCACCTTTGGCGTTTGTATTAAGCGGTTTTTCATTTCCAATGTTTGCTACGTTGTAATATGCGACCACTTCCCCGTTTTATTGTGATGTTTCAGTGTTAAATGATGTCTTCTTTGTCTGTCTCACCATGACCTAGTTTTAAAATCTCGGCCAGGTTGCATGACATTTGGCTCGACCCGACTGACTGTATGATCGTTCTGCTTAACAAGCCAGGATTTATTACTGTTATTATCATTATATTATCACTATAGTATTTGTATACAGCAATTCATATATAACGACCCCTATTGAAGGGCATTTTTATGACATCAGAACATCGAATTGTACCTGGACGTTTAACCAGCGTAAACGGATATTGCATTATTAAAAAAAATCATGTCATATTATTTAACTGAAATGTTGAACGTACTAATTTTGTCAATAAAATTAACGTTCTGCCGTGAGATTATAACCTCCCTTTATTCTATACCAGTGCAAAGCAAGAAACGCAATGGTCGCATTCTCGGTCGCATGTGTTTAGATTACACGCCGCAGAGACAACAAACGCGATCGTTCATACATACAGGTATTATTTATAATTTCACAAGGTCCATAACTCCACGAACATGAATGTTTGACGAGTATACTTCAATCGTAGATATAAATCACTTACTTCGCACGGAATGTTCCTCAATCCTGACATAAGCTCGTCCTGTAAAATCTTCACTCAATCGCACAATGGCGGAAACCCCGTTGACCTCAATGAAATGTTGTCACCGTAGAGGGCATTAATTTAACAGTGGTATCGCCTCTAGATGGCGCTTTTGTGAATTCCTTGTATCACAGTTCATCACATCACAGGTTGATTCTGCACAATAGTCACGCTTTAGACAGGTATTGTTAAATAAATATTGTACTGTTAGAAAACCTTACCTTTAGTACCTCTAGGTTATCTCATACGAAAATATCTGCTTACAACTGGTTTTAATCCATGTCGAACACGTGCCATTGACCATTTTGCGCACGTTTTCGGCAAGGCTTATCAGCCACCTCAAGTTAAAAATACATGAAATAAGC